GCATGCATGAGGGCAAGACGTACTGGAAATCTCTTTTCTGCTCAGTTTTACTGTGGACCTAAAATAGCTCTAAAAATATAAAGTTTATTATATAAAATATATTTTATAAGTCCACATTTCTGTGAAGACAGTTCTTTTTTTAAAACTCAAACTCTGCATCAACTGCAGAATAGCGATTATAACTGGAATGTTTAATGTTAATCTAAAATCTATTGAAAAAAATTAAATTACACACAACCTGTTGTCATTTTGTAGTTACTCATTTTCTTGCCAGTATTCTCAGTAATCTGTGATCATGGTTAATCATTGGTTGATGTGATAAATTTAGTGCTTCTGACCTGGGTAAGCCACAGGACCTCTCATAATATGAAATGTAATCAGCTTTAAGGTCAAGGTAAAATAGGAATAGCATAGGTTAAAAGGAGGAAGCAGTCCAGGCACAGTGGCTCATGCCTGTAATCCCAGCACTTTGGAAAGCTGAAGCAGGAGGATCACTCGAGCACAGGAGTTTGAGACCAGCCTGGGCAAAATAGCAAGACCCTGTCTCTAAATATATATTACAAAGAAAATTAGCTGGGCTCGGTGGTGTGCACCTGTAGTCTCAGCTTCTCAAGAGGCTGAAGCAGGAGGATCGATTGCTTGAACCCAGGAGGTCAAGGCTGCAGTGAGCCGTGAATGTGCCGCTGTACTCCCGCTTGTCTCGAAAGACACAAAAAACAAATAAACAAACAAACAAAAAAAACGGATCTGGTGAATATTCAGAGACGATTAAGTGAAAGGCTGGTGCTTATTGTTATGTGGTCAGGACTTTACGCTGCTTTTTATTTATTTATTTATTTATTTTTTTGAGACAGAGTTTCACTCTGTCACCCAGGCTGGAGTGCAGTGGTGCGATCTTGGCTCACTGCAACCTCTGCCTCCCAGGTTAAAGCAATTCTCCTGCCTCGGCCTCCCAAGTAGCTGGCACTACAGGCATGTGCCACCACGCCCAGGTTATTTTTTGTATTTTTAGTAGAGATAGGGTTTCACCATATTAGCCAGGATGGCCTCATTCTCCTGACCTCATGTTCTGCCTGCCTCGGCCTCCCAAAGTGCTGGGATTACAGGCGTGAGCCACTGCGCCTGGCCAGGACTTTCTGCTTCTTAAGAGTCCCTAATGATTCCCAGGCCCAAGCATGTTGAGATGGGGATGCTGTCTTATGGTCCACGTCTGTCTCATGTAAGCAGGAGGGGCTGGGAGTGCAGGATGCACTTGCTGTTGGGTTCCTGAGCCACAGCATTAACATAGATATCATCCTTCTTTTGAATAGAAGACAAATGACCTATAGCGGTACCATGCTAAACCTTACTCTCTAAGGATACACTGGACTGAAATATATTATATTGAATATATTCCCCATTTTAAATATATTGAATTTCATCATATTTTCCCTAAACCATTTGGTTTCATATTTCCCTAAATCACTTGGTTGGATTGTAAGTATGTCTCCCTACAAACTGTCACCCTCCTTCTGCCAAGCAAATGAAATGATGACTGTGCTGCATTCTACTTGGGTGTCATCTCAGTATCCTTACGTGAAAGTTGGTGTCGTCTTTCCTCCTACTTCTTGTATTAGGCTGTTCTTTGCATTGCTATAAATACCTATGGCTGGGTAATTTATAAAGAAAAGAGGTTTAATTGGCTCATGGTTCTGCAGGCTATACAGGAAGCATGGCACGGGCATCTGCTTGGCTTCTGGGGAGGCCTCAAGGAGCTTTCATTCATGGGGGAAGGCAAAGTAGGAGCGGGCACATCAGACAGCGAGAGTCAGAGCAAGAAAGCAAGAGAGGGTACCACACACTTAACCGATCTCATGAGGACTCACTCACTAATGCAAGGACAGCACCGAGAGGATGGTGCTAAACCATCCACGATGCATCCGCCTCCACGGTCCAGTCGCCTCTCACCAGGTCCCACCTCCAACCTTGGGGATCACATTCCAGCGTGACACCTGGCAGGGCAGATATTCAACCATGTCACTTCTTTTCCAGCAGGCGCCTCTCTGGGCTCTGACACTTTCCCATCAGTCCCAGCTGGGAGTCTCCGTTCTTCCAGTTCCCTCGAAACAGGCTCTTTCCCCCAACCCTGGCTTCATGCTCAGCCTTTCCTGAATGCATTAGACACCTAGTCAGAGGAAAAGCACTTTGACTTCAAATTAACATTTCAAATAAAAACTAACTTTAAAACATTTTATTATGAAGGCAATGTAGATTCTCTACTTACAGAAATTCAGGCCTGGCGCAGTGGCTCACACCTGTAATCCCAGCACTCTGGGAGGCTGAGGCAGGCAGATCACCTGAGGTGAAGAGTTCCAGACCAGCCTGGCCAACATGGTGAAACCCCATCTCTATTAGGTGAAACCTAATAGAAAAATACAAAAAATTAGGCGGACATGGTGGCAGCCGCCTGTAATCCCAACTACTTGGGAGGCTGAGGCAGGAGAGTTGCTTGAACCCAGGATGAGGAGGTTGCAGTGAGCCTAGATTGAGCCATTGTACTCCAGCCTGGGTGACAAGAGTGAGACTCTATCTCTAAAGAAAGAAAGAAAGAATTCAGACATTCTGAGTTTTGGAAAAATAATATGTCACCCATGGTGCCATCCTTAGACAACCACTTCGAGACTTTGCTGTCTCTTCCAGTGATCTAATTAGATTTAAATCATATCGGCCAGGTGTGTTGACTTATGCCTGTAATCCCAGCACTTTGGGAGGCTGAGGTGGGTGGATCACTTGAGGTCAGGAGTTCAAGATCAGCCTGGTCAACATGATGAAACTCCATCTCTACTAAATATACAAAAATTAATTGGGTGTGGTGGTAGGTGCCTGTAATCCCAGCTATTCGGGAGGCTGAGGCAGGAGAATCGCTTGAACCCGGGAGAAGGAGGTTGCAGTGAGCTGAGATTTTGCCATTACACTTCAGCCTGGGTGACAAGAGCAAAACTCTGTTTCAAAAAAAGAAAAGAAAAAAAGATTTAAAGCGTATCTACCTGGCTGGCATGGTGGCTCACACATGTAATCCCAACACTTTGAAACGTCGAGGCAGGCAGATTACCTGAGATCAGGAGTTCGAGTCCAGTCTGGCCAACATGGTGAAACCCCATCTCTACTAAAAGTACAAAAATTAGGCGGGTGTGGTGGCATGCACCTGAAATCCCAGCTACTTGGGAGTTTGAGACAGGAAAATCGCTTGAACCCAGGAGGTGGAGATTGCAGCCAGCAGAGATAAAGTCACTGCGCTCCAGCCTGAGTGACAGAGCAAGACTCCATCTCAAAAACAAAGCAAAACCAAATCATATTTACCCTTTATGCTCCACTCATTCACTTGTGGTATCCTTTAAAAGGAAGTTTTAGGCAGTGATAATCTTTTCTCACCTGCTTTTAAGCACTACATCGATTATCGTTCATATTCATCATTCAGATTATTGGTTGAGAGTAATTGTATTGGTTCACATCAAAGTACTACCAAGGAGATACTTTCTTCTTTTTATTCTTCTGATGCTAAATAGGCTTTCTCTGACATGGGGTATCTGCAGCTGACCTTAGCAGTAGGCACACACGACCCTCTTGCTGACCCTGCAGTTCATGCAGCTGTTCCCAGGGAAAGGTCATGAAATCCTCTCTGCCCTCAAATGACCAGCCAGAAGATACTTGGCCTGTGGCATATGTCAGTTTTGGGTACTGTGCCACAAGCAGGGTGTGGGTGAATGGAAGGAGCCAGGAACTGCAACATGGGAGAAACAAATTAGGGCTGGAGAACTAGGTGGGGAAAACTGTGGTTTCTATCAAATGGAACATCCAAAGCTGGAGATAAATATAAAGTGGGAGCTCACACTTTAACCAAAAATGCAGGCCTAGTGGGAGGCAGGGGTCTGGTTAGTCAGGCAAGGCAAAGCTTGGGTCAAGAGGTGTCAAAGATCAAAGACAGGCAAATAGTTAAAGATCCAGGTCTTGGCCGGGCGCAGTGGCTCATGCCTGTAATCCCAGCACTTTGGGAGGCCGAGGCAGGCAGATTACAAGGTTGGGAGTTCGAGACCAGCCTGGCCAATATGGTGAAACCTGTCTCTACTAAAAATACAAAAACTAATCGGGTGTGGTGGTAGGTGCCTGTAAGGCCAGTTACTCAGGAGGCTGAGGCAGGAGAATCACTTGAACCTGGGAGGTGGAGGTTGCAGTGAGCTGAGATTGTGCCACTGCACTCCAGCCTGGGGGTGGAGAGAGAAAGAAAAAGATCCAGGTCTTGCTGGGCATTGTGACAGTTCAGGAGGCTGAAGTGGGAGGATCGTATAAGGCCAGGAGTTCAAGATCAGCCTGGGCAACATGGCAAGACCTCATTTCTATAAAAAATAAAAAAAATTGGCCAAGGGTGGTGGCACATGGCTGTAGTCCTAGCTACTTGAGAGGCTGCTGTGGGAGGATCACTTGAAGCCAGGAGGTTGATGCTGTAGTGAGCTACAACTGGGACACTGCACTCCAGCTTGGGTGACAGAGCAGGATACTATCTCTAAAACAACAACAAATCCCAGTCTTTAAAATGAGAGAAGCGGCAAAAATCTAAGCAAGGAGATAGGGAACAGGTGCAAAGCTTGTGCCAAAGGGCGACCAAGATAGAGGCTTCCTGTGGACCCGTCTCCAGGGAAGACAAAGTCTGAGAACAAGACCATTCCTTCTGCCATACTGTGTAAAGACGTTTAATTTTTATCCTGGAATTTTTCAAATCAACATGACTCAGGTTAAACACAAGAATACTCAGTGGAGTGTTTTGTAAGGATTCTTTTCTCTAAGATGACTCCAGGCCTCCTTTGGGGCAGTGAATTAATCTCTCTCTCTCTACTTAAATGCTCTTAAGCCCAGTTCCATAACAGTGTTAAAGTCAAAAACATTGGTTGCTGGCGTGAATGAATTCTCAAGAGACACTGATTGGCTAAAACAGCAGTTGATTCATCTTAGAACCATTAACTTACCTTATGTCTTGCTGTGGCAAATGGTAAGTTAAATTGACCTCGACTGCCCCTAAAGTGGACCCAAACAGTGACTGCCCTCCCACCCAGGTGAAGATCACTCGGGCACCTCGCCCTGCTGGGCAAGAGGGCTTTGCATTCACATTCGGGTCCTGGAAGTCCCCAGGGATACTCTTCAAGGCTGAGGCTTTGAACTCCCACTTGCGTTTTAGCAAAGGTAATGACCTTTTCCTGGATGCTGTCAAGGAGAGCGACACTTTGCCACCAATATCTAAAATCAAGTCGCATGGTTCCCCAGGGTCAGCAGGAGAATTCAGAAATAGGCTGGGTGCCCCGCTCCCGACCACCAGATTGCCATCACCACACATAAGGTCACAGCTAAGTAGAAAATGCCTGGAGCAAACTGGAGGTGAAAGAGGGGCCAGCCGGGGGGTGTAATAGGCAGCGCCTTCCTCGAGTTCATTATCCTCACCTACTCCTGTCGCCTCGTGTTAGAATCTTAATGCGAGTTTACAGAAAGTCAGCGGGAGCTTGTCCTCCGTGTAATTCAGATCACGTTGCCTGCAGCTCTTAGGTACTCAAATAAACAGAAGGACTAATATTACTACTGAAAATGTAATTAAGGGCATTCATTGTAAAGTAATAATGATTACCTCATGCTCACCATATGGCCAGAACTGATTAACACCTAGAAGAAATGATCTAAAACCTCTAAAATCAGAATTAATGTCTCAGGTCATAATGAAAAACATTTTGTGTGTGGGTGGGGGGAGGGAGGGAAGGAAAAAGTGGCTGGGAGTTTACTAAATCAAGAGGCACAAACAAAATATTGAAGATAAAATCCTGAAAAAACTCATTCAGATTAGACAAGTTGTGTTTCTAGTGTAGAGCCCATATCACAAATGCAAAAAATATGATAACATTTACACATTGGAATTGTCACTTAATTGGATGATTTTTGTCCTCCATCGTATCTTTTAAATGATGAGGAATTGATGGAAGAGTCTCCATAGAGGCTGGCAGTTTCTTAAATCACCAGGAAAGGGCTTAGCCCATTGATTGAAAATCTTTCTATCATAAATTACTGGTTAAAATGCTGTTTGTTGTCAGGAGTGTCGTGGCGTGTGATTTAATCTCTTAAGATTAAAGTGGTAGAAATGTTAGCATTTCTGGGTAGTGCCAAACAGGTTAACATTACAGAAGAGGCCTAGAAAGATATGGACGCATTTGGAAGACAGGGTCGCTGTAGAAGCCAGTTTGCAGGTGCACTGTGGGGGTGACAGGATGCCCGGGGCTGTTCTTGATTAGTGTGTGTGTGCCCTAGGGCCATGTGGTGAAGCATAAGGAAGCAGAATTTGGGGTATTTCCCCCCCCCCAGAATCCCTAAGATTACTCTGTGTACTGCTGGGGAAAAGCTTAATGGGCTCAACACCACCCTTGAGGGAAGGCAAGGTGGAATCTCTTTTTCTGCAAACTTTCTTGGGTGTTGGATCATGATTCCCTGAGGCAGGATTCCCTGCCAACAGAGCTTGCGGGGCTGGTGGGGCTGG